GTTTTGTTGATAGATATGGAAGTAATGGTTTCGATTGGCAATTGCAGCAGCACACTGTGAGGAAAACTTTAGAGAAGAGTGAAGCTTGACCTGGAATTGTCGAGAGGGAATAAAGGATTCCATGCCAACCTGAATCCACAAAGTTATGTAAGAAGCACATTTGTCAACAGAAAGACTAAAGATTTCTACCCAAGGGTCATCATGAAGAAAATCACATAAAGAGTCTCAGTCAGCTTTAAGGTAGTTGTAAGATGTACAATGATAGGAGGATTCTGATGATAAAGAAGAATGATAATAATTTTAGAGAGATCAAACTGTGATTAGAGGCACCTAAGGTTGAATGTGGAGAAACTGAGTACTGACTAGGATCAGAAACAGGAAATAAGTCAAGTAGAGAAGGTAAATGATTCGGGTTGTCTGGAAAGAGAGTTGGAAAGTTGACTATTTGAGTTAGAGAAAGGAAAAAGTTGTGGGCCTTAATGCCTACAGAGTCACTGACACTTGAGCCAAGCCATTTAGTGTGATGAACATTAATGTCACCAACAACAACAATATTGGCTGATGGATAAATAGAGAGGGCTTTGTCAATATGATCAGAAATAGCATCAAGAAGAGTGCATTCTTGAGATGAAGGAGAGCAATATAGAACAATGAGAAAAGGTGATAGAGTGAAGTGGTGCTAAACGAAAGCATGTAAAAGAGTAGTCTGGATTCAAACCTAGTTTCCCGACAAATGAGTGAATTCTTACGAATGTAAATGCCTAGGCCAAGCATGTGACTATTGGAGTCTTTAGGAATTAAAGGAAGATAACCATTAACACTAAGATCACAAGATGAGACAGCTGAACTCAAATTAGTCTCACAAAGAGCAAGCAAGTCTGGTGAACTTTGCAAGAGATAAGACTCAACAGAAGAAAAGTTACTTCGAAGACCACGAATATTGGTGAATGATAGGTTTAGCGAACTTGGTGATGACTGTGGTTTTTTGTGTTTTATAGTTTTTGTTACTTTATTCATTTTTAGATTTGTTAAAGAACTTGATTAGAAACATAGATATTGCTCAGTATACTATTTTATAGCCCAAGCAATTGCCTCATTTTCACTAATAAACCCTAAGCCATAACAAAGGGCTCCAATGTGGTCTTGGCAATGCACACCAAAAGTACAAACAGGGACACCATCCATGCGCAACATGGCACTGTTAGTACTCTGATATTTTTCAGCTGTTGATGGAATCAGCCTCTCTTAGAGCTACCACAGAGTTCGGGAAACCTGACTACCAGCCGGCCTCAGAACCATAAAACTGAGTTTTAGAGCTGTACCCTTATTTGGAGATAATAGAATGAGTTGCCTAGTCATAAAAACAGAGACTAAAGCTACCCCTTAATTGAGTCAAGAATAATAAATAAGTCAAGTTAAAACTATATCCTCGATGAGCAAAACAAAGAAACACGTTTTTAAATATTTTTTACAACTTTAAATATTTTATTTTTATGTAAATTTTATGTGGATTACACTTTAAGAGAAACTATTAGGATAAGTTTTGTTGAAAAACTTAGAATATTTGGTTAAGAGCCTCTTAAAATAAAAATTTTCTTTTTTGATTTTTTATTGCCTTATAAAAACTGTGTATTTCACAGATTTGTCTTTAAGTACATTGAGTAGTCAAATTTTTTCTGTGTTACGTATCAGTGTTTATTTTTGAGTAGGGGAAAGTGGTCTAAAACAGACCCTTAAGCTGAGATGGGCCCCTATCGAATCTCCTGCTTAGACAATAGTTGTTATAAATTTAAATGTAGAATATTTTGCAGCAGACTATAAACATTTAAGAAAATCATCCGAAAAATAGTTTTTTTCATTGTTATTTTATGGCAAAAAGAGTATTTGAAAGTAGTACTTTTGAAAATTCTTTTGAGCTAAATATTTTTTACTGTAATCGTAAAAAAGATGTTTATTGTGTTACTTTGATACTTTTTAAACTTTTAACATGCAATCTTTTTATTGGCACAAGATTTTTATGAGAATATTCTAACAATTTATGTTTTTCACTAAATATTAATAACACACTCCAAACTGGTTGAAGCGGGCTTCTAGGGCCCATTTCACCCGTGCAATTAGAAATATTTCACGACAATATGTTTCAGCTTAGTTTTAGTTAAAAAAAGAGTAAATTGGCAATATTATTTATGTAGTAACGGGTTTCTTAGTTATTTTTATTTGAAAAAGGTATTTGCAACAACTTCCTTTTATAATTTTATTGTAGTTTAAAGCAGCAGCTATGTATTTATATTTTAAAAAATTTGTACCATCTTTTATTCGTGTTATTTATTTACATATATATTTAAATATATATGTAAACATCAGTGCACTAATGCTTAGAACAATTTCCCTTATTCTTTTAAAATTGAAAACTCAATTTCTCGATATATTTTTCTCAGTAAATTAAAAAAACACTATTTGGATAGCTACTAGAATAATAACATCAATAAAAGTAATATATCACTGTTAATAGTCTTATTAAAAAATACTCTTGTATCTCTCTCTTGTATCTCTCTCTTGTACATATTTTTTATTTTTTTACTTTTTTTTAAGAATCTTTACATTTATGTACAGCTTTTTTGTCGTCCTTGTACATTAATTAAATGTGTATGTGCGTATGCATGGGTGGGTATATGTATGCGTATGTGTATAAATGTGTGTATATGTGTGTTAACATGTGTGTATAGGTATGTATGTATTTGTATGTATATGTATGTATGCGCTCAAGTATATGTACATCAATAAATTAGTTAAAGTCAATTTTAATTTAAAATTTAGATTTTATTCAGAAATTAAATAAGGAGCCCATTTTAGGCTTTTCATTTTAATGTAAGGCATAGCCACAAGTTTCTTTTTTTGATGTTAAATTGTAGAGCATAGATTGAGTTTCCTGAATTTGTTTGTTTCAGTTGGTTATAGCTAGCTGATTCTATCGTTTTTTGAAAAGGGGCCGTTTTAGGTCACTCTCCCCTTTCAATCTGCTAAAGAACTTTTTTGAATAATTTTTTTTTTCATATACATTGAAGTTAACTATTACTATTTTCTTTACCAACTAAAAAAATTTCGAGATTTATGTAAAAGTTTACAGAATTCTTTAAAAGGTTACCTAATTTTTCAGATTTTATGTGTAAGAGTTACCACTTAAGCAAACCTTCCAAAATTTTGCACATTCGTTCTGACTAAAAACATTGCTCTAAAAAAGTGATCAGGCAATACAGCAACTATTTTGATAAAATTAAGACAGATGTCTTCGAGCCGTTTAAAGACTTGACTAAAATATGGTACTTGTTGCTTATTGTTGCAGTATATTTCGTTATGATTGACAGTTTTAAGAAATAAGAGCTTAAGATATTACAAAACACAGGCAAAGTAAAATGAAAAAGACTAAGGCAAGATAAGTTGTTTATATAATATTACCAAGAAATTTTGTATGATGTTAGGCAGTTGATAGCCAAAATTCCATTTTTGCAAAACTTCTTGTAAAAATGCCACATCCCCAATTTGGCAGAATTAAGGATGTGGGATAACTAAGTTTTACAAAAAATGTTGTTTAACGAATTATAAAAAACAGGGTGAGTGCTATTTGACAACCCTATGTGACATTGAGTTCTATCGCAACTTTTTTTTTTCTAACTAGAAGGGATTTGGATTAATCCTAATTGCTATTTGATCAAGTTTTAAAATTGATGAACGTTTTTTATAATTTCTCAACTTTCTTTCTAACCCTTAACCTTTATTTCACGGTATGATAATACAATTTGCACTTTTCTTTTGAGTTTTATGATCACTTGTTAGCAAATTATTAGAAACCTTAGAATTTTTAGCCTCCTTTCTAAAATACGTTTTTCACATCTACTTGCAACCCATTTTCTTTGTTTATAATCCGCTTTTAAAATTACTGTTATATGCATAAAGCAAAAAGGCATGGGACAGGAGGTGGAGGAGGGGGGGGGTTGAGGAGAGGAATATAAAATTATTATCAAAGCAATTATCAAAATCAAGTTTTTTTGAAATTCTTGAAATATTTTAAAAAAAACCATGAATCATTCAGACAGTCTTCATCACAGCATTTCTGGTCGATGCTATTATACTGAATTTTCCACCTAACGTCACTCAAAGGAGTTTGATTATGATTCGGTTTTTTTTTCATTGAAGTTTAATTATTATTATCAGAGTATACAATTTTTGTTATATTTATTAATAGGCAAAAAAATTTTTTTTTAGTAAAAAGTAATAAATTTTGAAAAGTACATTATAATACAAATAAACTATACTTTTAAATTTTACCCAAACTATGATCCCTAATGCTACCTATATTTTTGTATGAAAAACGTCATTATCCGGACACGGTTAATATTTTATTGTAAACTAATGTTGAAAATTAACTTTTAAATGTAAAGGATCAATAATGTAACAAACTTTTTCCTTACTACTCACAAATTACAAAAATAATTTTTTGTGTAGTCATATTGAATCATTGAAAAAAAATTGACATAATTCTGTTGTCAAATTCATATGTTTACCATAAACATTTCTGAAACTGAATAAGATTTCTTTTTGGGACTAGTAGTGAAAGTTAGTGGTGAAAAAGTATTATTGTTGAAAAGTTTAATATTTATGGTAAATTAGGAGGGAATTAGAAGTGTTTTAAGTTAAAACTGTTGCTTTTTAATTGGGTACATTGGGGAGTCAAGGAACAGTAAATGATCCCTAGTGCTACTTTACTATAAAGGCTTCAACAATTGCGAGATAAATAACTTAGTTTTTACCATGAAGAAACAGTTCCAATGAATTAAAATAGCTTAACTATTTAAATTATTTTTTATCAATTTTACATTTTAGCCTGTTTATTGTTTATTATAAATTGTTACCTTAACTTTTTTTTAAAGTTATTTTCATTGTATATATATATATATATATATATATATATATATATATATATATATATATTTATTTTATAGGAGCTTTAGATATTTATCGAGATTTTGAAAATCACAAATTAGGACCTTTTTTATTGGTTGATATAAATGAGAACAAGTTTGAAGTTTGCATCAGAGGTCGTATAAGTTTTCTTGGAATGAAAGCAGATGTTGATATTCAGATCAATAACACAAACTTATATTTTGTTGTTAATAATTTTTTATTTGATGTTTTATGGATGAAAGTAAATGTAAATGTTCAATATTCTAAGTCAAAAGGATTGGAATACCTTTATGTAAGTTTTTATTATAGTTTTAGTTTTTTATACTTTTTCTTGTAGTAATTGATGTGTTGTATGTTTTAAATATTTTATATTGTTGTTTGAGATGTATGTATTGTATGATTGTTGAATGATGTATTAGATCTAATCTGTTGAATGATGTATTGAATCTAATCTGTTGAATGATGTATTGAATCTAATCTGTTGAATGATGTATTGAATGAATGATGTTTTGAATCTGTCATTGATGTGTTTTATGCACAGTATAGTTAATTAATGGGTTGCATCTATTTTTAATTATTGATTGATGTATTGTATGACTGTTGATTTATTTATTGTATGCTTGTTTCAGTTGCAAATTTATTAAAAATTATTTAATGTATATTAGGCATACAAAATGTATAACTATATATAATGTATTTATCTTTAGAATACTTTTTTAAATTTACTAATTATTGATATTAGAAATTCTAAACTTACAACTTTTTAAATTTTGTTTAAGCGTTTTTAAGTAATTTTTTGTTTTGCTGAACTATCTAATAAAAATTTTATAAACATACAGTATAGATAAATATATTTTTATAAATATATATTAACAAAAGTTGAGTTTTAAAACAAATAAAAGGTAATTAATTAATTGATAATTCAAGCACATAAATAAATATTATTATAAGATCATTATACATCGTGTATACATGCTACATGAACAAAGGTCTTATGCATAATAATTTATTTGTTTTAAAACAAAACTAATGTTAAATGATTATTTTTAAAAAATTTTTAAAACTAAAATAACGTTTAAATCCATTTTGCTGTTTCAAATACATTTTAAAAAGCGTATAAGTCATATGCTTTTTATTGTTTATAATGTTTTTCTTATTTTAAATTTTCGTTTCCTTGTTTTTAATACCTATAAAATACAGCTATGCATTAAAGTTTAATCTAGTTATTAGCTTCAATCAGTTAAAGTTCTTTTAAAATTAAAAACAAACTTTTTTATTCCAAAAACAAATTAATAAAATAGAACCATTTAGCAAAACAATAAACATTGTTAAGATGAAATAGTTGAAAACAGAATTACAATATAGTCATGCATTATCAAAAAATGAGTTATTCAAAAGTTTAATCAACTCTCTCTTTAGATAATACAAATAGAATATTTGAATTATAATAACAATCCTTTTGCTTTTTGACTAGTTTCATGCACATCTTACCTAAAACATTAACTAAAACCCTTTCAAAATTTGCTTCATATGCTTGAAGTTAAGTTTGAATTTGATGGTTTGCCGATTAAACTTTCATCCGTGACCAAATAGCTTTGATAGAGTTAAGATCTCGTGATTTAGGTTGCCAATGCAACAAATTGATCTTTTTTGTGTTGAGTGTTGAACAAGTCAAAAAAGGAAAAAACATATTGGTTAAGATTTTTATATAATCTATAAAATATTTGTAGGTTCAAAATTAGAATTAAAAAATAACATTCAATCTTGTAAGCTTGTTCTGATGTTATTTAAATATCTGTTAGACTTTTGATATTATTTAAATATCTTATTGATTTCTAATGTTTTTTAAGTATCTGGTAGACTATTGATGTTATTTAAATATCTGGAAGGCTTCTGATGTTATTTAAATATTTGCTAGACTTTTGATGTTATTTTAATATCTTGTTGGCTTCTTTCAATTTGATTTCAAGTTTATGTCAATTTCTACAAACGAACTATGTTAAGAAATTTAATTTTTATAAAGTTACTTACAAAAATATTACTTATAAAACTACAAGTTAGAATTAAAAAAAAAAAAACTAGTTGTAACAGTATAAAAAGCAAAATTAAGTAAGTAAAATTATCAAGTCTAAAATAATCTTATAAGTTCTGGTTTTCAAGATATTCTGAGAAAGAAACAACAATTTTTGAAAAATGTTGTAAACAAGAACTTTTTTTCATTCTGATGAATTATCAAATAAAAATATTTTTCCTGCTTCTCAAAATCCTATTGGCATTTTTGGGTATGATGACATTTTTAAACACCTCTGTCTTTAAGCTTTTGCTTGAGTAAAAGCTGATGGTGGTGTCTTAATAAAAATACTCATTTTCAGCAGACTTTACTTGCATTCAGCTACTGTTTTGTAAAAGCTTTTAACACTAATTAATTAGGCTTTAACTAACATTAACACTAGTTTTAAGCAGAAAAGTTCTGTTGATCAGCCTCCTACCCTTTTCGCATCTGTTAAACTGGCAATGGGTAATGAATGCTGAATCTTCTTGATTCTAATCAATGGATTATGCTTCTGTCTTTTTGATAAGAACTATCTTTTGCGCATTGATGGTTGTGCATTAATAGTGTTCATGGCAATGCTTTTAGTAATCATTTTTGAATTTTTAAATAAGCAATCCTTTGTTACAACTTTGGTTTATTTAACAAGACTGATGCAACTGCATGGCTCATGCTTGAGTCAAGTTCAGTAGTATTATTGGCGCAAGAATTACAATTGAAATCCATTCATTAGCTTATACATAATTTATACATAAAGTATTTGACCAACAATAAACTGAAAATATGTGAATATTTTCAATATATCTTACTTTAAGAAGGAATATTGTCTCTTTACTGCATTAGTTGTGCAAGTTTACCTTTTTGATTATGTAAACACATAACATAAGTATCCCTAACATACATGACAAAAGCATGACATTTATTATCCTGGTGGTTTTCAAAATTTAATACTCTGCTTGGATAAGAAAATACTTTTTGTGTTTTTTAATCTTGTCAGTTTTTTTTTTAAATAAAAAAACATAAATACATAATTTCGAAAACAAAATGGTTTGAGCAGGCTTTTATTTTTTAGAAAGGTTCTAAAAGTTTCCTAATATTATATATACTCAATTCTAAATTATGCTATCTGCAAACCCAACTTACCTACTGTCAGAAGTAATGATTTTTACACTTTGAGATTTTGCACATAACGTTATACATGAGAATTTTGTTACAATTGAATATGAGACATTGATTTTAAAATTTCCATTAATTACTTATAAACTTAACATAATAAACTTATAATTGTTAACAAAAATTTTAAAGTTATCATATATTATACATATATTATTCACAATTTTTACTCAACTGATGCTAAAGACATTTGATAAATTTAATAAATGGAATTTTTACACTTTTTTATTTAAAATTTTAAGTTTTAAGTTTTTACATTTAACTATTTACATATTTGTATTTGTGTATAATTTTTTTACACTTTGTATAAAAATGTGCTAAAAGACTTTTTCTCACATTTTCACAACTTGACTTTAATGGCTGCCATGAGTTCATTGTCATAATCACGCACAAGTGGACATTACTATTAAGTTCATCATTATTATATAAGAAATATTGACTTTTTAAAACATATAATTACTGTTTATAATGTTTTGCAATCAAATATTTAGTTTGATGGTTGTCTTGGTATAAGTGCAGTATTCGAAGTGACGAATGTTGCTGTAAAATATATAGAAGCTGCGCAGAAGAAAGTAAATCTTGTATTAACAAAGGCACAAAATACTATGGAGGAGGCCAAAAGGGATATTGATAAAGTTGAAGCTAATATAGAGGCTTGGAAAGATAGTTAGTTAATCTTTAATTTTAATTTTTTTTAGGCATAACATTTTCTAAACAAAATATACATTACTAATAACAGACAATAAAAATTAATAAATTAAGTTTTGGTATTTTTTTTTTTAAATTAACAAATTTTTGATTGATATTTAGGTTACAATTATTTGATTTTCAAATAATTGTCTGTTAATAATTAAATACTTTTTACTTATTAAAAAAACAAAATACATTCTGGTTATTATCATTCTTACTGCTTCTCTGCTAACTTATAAAAAACAGGTCTAATAAAATAATATTTATAGAGAAAAAGATATTAAATACTATAATATATAATTATTATAATTGTTTACAGATATGTACTATTTATGAATGTAAAAAATGTTGAAATTTGAAAAAAAAAAGCATATTTCAAATAGGTTATTTAATAAATGATACAATTTATTAACAAGCCATTTACAACATAAATGGGTTGGTAATATTTAAGTATTTGTTACTTATAACTTAACTTGATTAACATTATGTTGACTCATTTACTGTAGGTTAGACTTATTACTTTTAAACACTCTCAAACACTCTCTCCATAACCTTTTGATGTCTAGATATTTGTAGAAATACAATATTTTATGACTTATTTTGATAAACATATTAATAAAAATAACGTGAAAAGTTATGAAGGTATGACCTGAGTACCTGTATAATCTTACCTGCATTCATTTTTGTTTCATATTTTATTTTATTATAGAACTTAATGGTTATAAAAACAAGTTAGAGGAGAAAAGAATACAACTTGAGAATGAGAGGAGGGTTATGAGTAAAAGTTGTTTTGATGAATGTGGAACAGGTATATATTTTTTTTTTATGCATTTTTATTATGTAACTGTGTTACCAATCATGTGCGAGCACTTACTTGTAACTAGTAACTATTAGTACAGAAAATTGATGTATCTCATACAGAGTATCATTGTCTAACCAAGTTAGTGCGTATCACAATCATGAAGACGTCTCACCCTTTAGGTGTTGACCAAAGGTGTGTTAACACATTTCAGTATCACATTACCACACTAATGAGCCCCAAAGGGTGAAACGCATCTGTGATTGTGATAGTCACTGACTTGGTTAGACAATTATACTTGGTATTATTATATGCACCAATTTTCTGTACTAGTTACTAGTTGTATGTAAGCTCCTACAATGATACTTTTTTTGTTTTTTTTTTATTGTGCAATTTTTCAAAGATTCAAAGTTTGTTATTCCAAGCGTAATTAAAAACATGATTTAAATAAACTTACGTTTTAGTTTATTGAGCTTTATTTTGTTTGAGTAATGTTTTTATTTTTTGTGTTTTAGTTTTAAGTTTTTTTTTAATTTTCTTGTTTGTTAAAATTTCTTTTCTTTTTTTAAAATAAAGCTTTTTTAGTTGAATCTAGAAGTTTTTTCAGCCCATTTTTAAATTTTGAAAACATGTTAAAAGCTGTGGTCAAATTATCAATAAAAAATATTATTTGCATGATCATAAGAAGTGTGTGATCATGCTCCTTCCTGTGAAAGCCTGGTATGTATGTATATATGTGTTTACTATGTGTGCTGCACATATTAAGTAGTATTAGATGTTTAAAAGTTATTTTAGCCAACTGATTGTGGCCTTGTTTGAAAAATTAAAGATTTTAAAAAATTAAAAATATTTTAAAACAATAAATTACGCAAAATTTTTCTTTTTTTTTTTTTACTTAGTAACTTAAAACATGACAGTTTTACATACAATTTTAATGTTTGTTAAATTTTGATCAACACTGCTTGTTTGTTATGTTTGTTTATCACTGCTTGTTTTATGTAGCAGTAATCATGTTACTTGCTTTTTTTTTCTTTCTAGAAATAAAAACAAAAAAATTATAAAATTTTCTTTCTAGTATTTCTAATATAGTATTTCTAAATATTTGTTGTTACTCACTTACTCTCTGACAATAAAAACTGGTTTTAACCATCTCGTTCGTCTCATTTGTTTTTAGAACTCTATTTCGACAAAGTCTAATCATTTTTTGATCTCTATTCTGTAACAAATTTGATTTCTGTTCTGTTCTTTAGGCCTGCAGTGGCTACTGAATTTTAACAAAACTCAGTTAAACCTTTTACTGAATTTTAACAAAACTCAGTTGTTTACTGCTAATAGTTATGTCAATCATGTTAATCATAATTATGTTAATTATGTTGATATTCCTCTATTTATAAATGCAACACTCTTACAGAGTTCTATACTTTAAGTACTCACAGACTATTGATCTCTCATAGATTTTTCTTTCTAACTCTATAAATCTCTTCTTTATCATTGTATGGAATACTGTTGTCATATTTGGGCTGGTTTTTCTAATGATTCCCTTTTAACTTTTAGGGAATGTTCAAAGTAATTGTAAACAAAATTTTCCCCTGCAGTAAAGCTTGAGTATCTCTCGCACTGTCAAAAGTTAGCTTCTCTTTTTCATTTATAAAAACACTACAAATGATGATAGCTGCTCAAGCAAGCTATCATTACTTGTTCCATGAATCAAAACACAACCTTACCTTAAGATACGTGGTTTATCATCTAAATTGCATGTTTACACTGCTATTTTTCCTTGATGCTTAAAAAACTTTTTTCAAAAAACATTCATAAATTTTTTTCTTTCAATCTCCAATTATTTTATTTTACTGGACCATACAGTTTATGGTTTTTTAAGTCTTCTGTCAACTGTAATTTTCTATCAGCTTTCTGTTAACTCCCTACTTAAAATATATAAAATATAAAAACTTATTATACATGTATAATAAATGATTATAAAAATAATCTAAATGTCCCTAAGCAAAGATGGTTGCTTTAAATACTTACAGTTGCCTTTAAATAAAATATTGTTTACTTATTATTGCTATTTTCAAATTTTTTTGAATTTTATTTTTTACTTTTTTTAATTCGGTATTTTTTCTTTAATTGTTTTAGTTTTATATTGCTTAATTTGATTTTTTTATTATTTTTTAACTATATTCATATTTTTGATTTTTTTCAGAATGTGTTGCATTTTTTGGATGGAAGTCTGATTGCTATATTTTATGGGGCCGCTATGTTGGTTGTGTAACATGGGATGATTGTAAATGGAAGGCACCAAGGGTTGCATGTATTGCTGTTTGTGAAGTTAATAAGGGTTTGGAAAAATTTGCTTCATGGGCATCAGAAGTTGGAACTCAGGTTTTATATAATTTTTAAGTTTACTTTGTTAATTTTTAATTTTTTTTTTCAAATAATTAGTATGTTAATAAGAGTTAAAACTTGTACCAAATATTAAGCTCAAACCAAGTGAGTCATTAGAAACTATTGTTAACCTTTTCCACCTGCTTTTAACTCTAACACTTTTTTTTTTCAATGTTATTCACCTCGCTAAGCCAAAAAGGTCATTACAGTCAAGGAGGTTACTTATTTTTTTATTATTAATTTTTTATTTTTTTATTTTATTTTTTTATTTACTCTAAAACAAGATTTTTTGTCAAACAAGGATGCTGTACAAAAAAACAAGCAATAATACCAGGGATGTGGTAGAGATAGTCCATGGAACTTCTTATTTACAAAGTCAGTGCTCTACCACTACACCACTACTGCATAATGAAAAAAGAATTGTCAGCAACTGTCAATTGTCAACCTTTTACATTTACTTTTATCACTAAATCCTTTTTAATCACAAAGTTAAAAATTAGAAGTTTCAGAAAGTTTTAAACATTAAAAAATTCATTTAATTTAAATGTAAAATATGAAAGATAAAATAAAAAGCTATATGCTAACAATATTACAATATGTTATAAAGTATATGCTATATGTTATACATGTGTTTTTTTTTGTTTTTTACATAGTTACCTATAACATTACATCACAACATAAACTATTCACTTTTTTTACATAGTTACCTATAACATTACATCACAACATAAACTATTCACTTATTCATATTGTTTGATTGCACTTTTTTTTTAAAAGCCTACTATAACATAGGTCCCATAACAATAAAAAAAAACATTGATAACTAAAAACTTTTTTCAAGTCTGCTTTAATTTAACCTGACATATTTTTCAAAGGATGTCAAACCATTTTTATAATTAAACAAAACAATTAGATTTCATTATACTTTGTAATCTTGTATTAGTGAAAGCGGTACACTAATGCAAAATTACAAATACTTTAAAGAAAACTGTCATACAAAATAAATATTAGCTGTTAAGGATGTATTAGTGAAATTACTAATTTATTTTAATTATTTTATAACTGAATATAATTGAAAAATGAGTATTAAACATAATAATAATATAGTTGTAGATGTACAAATTCCTAGTTATAAAAAAGTTGGTGAACTGTATTAGATACGTGAATATCAGTTTTAAGAAACTTCTTCCAAATCTTTTAAATCTTCTTAAATCTTTAACTGGGAGTTCTGTTTTTTGTAGTTTCAAAAAATGTTTTTATATGAAAGAATAATATTTTAGAACAGTGTTCTTTTTGCAACCTCAGATTGAGTCTATCATTCCAGCTTTGTTACCAGCATTAGTAATTTCAAATAAAATTAAGTGAATAAATTAAAAAGAAAAATAATTAGTAACCAACTGTAATGGGAGGTGAAATTATTAAAAAAAACAAACATGTAACTAATAATTTTACCAACTTTTACTATTAATAATTTTATTGATTTAGATAATGAAAGGGTTAACATCAATAGGAGAACTTTTTTCTAAAACTGTTTCTAATATTTTGGATTTTGCTAAAAGCATTGTTACCTTAGCACAAAATGTGGTTGAATTTGCAAAAAAATCAACAAACTGTAAGTTAGACTTCAGTGCAAAAATTTTTTTTTTTTTTTTTTTTTTCTTTTTTGCAGTAACTTGTAAACAGTTTTTACATTGTTAATAAACAGCATTATATAATAATAGCATATAATATAAGTAAATATAAAATAATAATAGGATATAATATATATAATTAGCAATAATAGCATTGTTAATAATAATAGATATTGTATAAGACTTAAATTAAGTTCTTTTTAGTAGAGGATTCTGCATACTTTTCTAATGATCTAATAAAAATTTTAAATTTAGATAGACTTTTAATGCATTTTGCTATTATTGCATTTGTTGTTGTTATTAGTTTAAAAGTTAATAGGTATAATTTCAATTAGTTATTTAGATTTATAAATTTTGAATGTTGTAGATCAAAAGCTTTTTAAGAATAAAAATTTTTTTTTGTTAGAATTTAATTTGATTATTTACGTGTTAAGGACTAGCAAAGTTGACTTTTTAAGTCACTTTTAAGTCACTTTTTAAGTTTTGGACTGAAAGACTTTTTAAGATCCAAATTTAATTAGAAGACAAATTGAAGAACAAATTTAATTAGAAGACAAATTGAAGAACAAATTTAATTAGAAGACAAATTGAAGAACAAATTTAATTAGAAGACAAATTGAAGAACGAATTTAATTAGAAGACAAATTGAAGAACAAATTTAATTAGAAGACAAATTGAAGAACAAATTTAATTAGAAGACAAATTAGAAGACCATATGAGTAATCTCTTTGGTTTCCAAATTCTAATTTGGATTACTTCACATTTTTTTGAACACTTGTTTTAGACCTTTTAATACAGTTTCACCTGATTTCCTTTTCTACTTTAATCCCTGTTTATATTATTACAATTTTGTAATTAAAGACCAAAGTATAAGTGAAATTTGATAATTCACTTACTTTGAAATATTTCAAAAGCAGGAAAATATAACTAATTACTAAAATATTTTTAAATTTTCATAATTCAATTGCTCAGTGATATTTTAAAAGTACAATAACAGGTAAAGTTGTTTCAATTGAAATAAAGAAATTCATTGTAAAAGCTGTGGGCAAAAAATGAATTACAGAAAAAATTTACTTACAGAAAAATTTCTGAACTTTACAATGTTTCTAAAGCAGGAAGAAGTCACATTATCAAAAGATTTCTCTGGAAGACCTAAAGTTACAACTGAAAAGGATGATAGATAATTAGTAAGGTATTCCAAGAATAATCTTTGCAAGACTGTCAAACATAATTTAATTATGCATCGGTTTCATGGCACAAACTGTAGCCTCAATATAACTAAATGTTAATTGCAACAAAAAAATGGATACGTCCAGTTAAAAAACAGCTGATATCTGCAAAAAATTAAAAAGTCAGTATAAAATTTGCAAAAGATCATTTTAGTTAGACAAAATGTTCAAAATGTCAAAATGGTCAAAATGTCCATTTCTCTGATGAATTAAAGTTTATGGTATTTATGGTGACAGAATGAGGTCAGATGTTTGAAATATCCGTTACTAACTGTTAAAAATGGAGGAAATGTTATAATTTGTGGGTGTTTTAAGCATGACAATGTTGATCCCATTCATAACATAGAAAGTACTATGGATTAGAGAGTTTATTTAGACATAAAAGATATTATGCAGCTGCATTTAAAGTATAAAATTACTCACAAATAGGTCTTACAACAAAGCTGATGATCCAAAGTTTGTGCCAGATCTGTTAAGGAATGTTTTAAATCACAAGAAATTAAATTTATTGAATGACCTTCACAGAGCCCAGATCTCAATTCTAATGATCATCTTTAGTAGTACACTACAATTTATTTGGTAGAAAATCAACCAATATTTGCTTCTAATTAAAAATGTTGGTATAACCTTCCTCGGGATGTTCTTATTAATTTAGTTAAGTGCCTCTTTGCTGCGATGCTGTCTTAAAGACAAATGGATATGCCATCAAGTTCTAAGCATTTGTTTGCATTGAATTAAAAATGGTGGCATAATTTTTTTTCAGGATATTCTTATTAATTTAGTTGAGTGCCTCTTTGCTGCAATGCTGTCTTAAAGACAAATGAATATGCCACCAAATTATAACTGTCATATTGAAATTATTTTATTGAAAAATCGTAATATTGTAAGTTTCAGCTTTTTTGAAATCAATATTAATAAAAATTTTGATGTTTGTAAACTTTTGCAAGCAAACCTTTTTAAAAAAAGAATTAAATTTTAACTTTGTAATTTAGATTGAAATAATAAAAAACACTTTTAATTAAAATTTCAGCTTAATTGAGAAAGTTTGTGAAAAGTTATGCGTTATACAGTGTATAGCGCATAACTTTTCACAAACTTTCTCAATTAAGCTGAAATTTTAATTAAATGTGTTTTTTATTATTTCAATCTAAATTACCAAGTTAAAATTTAATTCTTTTTTTCAGTGTATAACTTATACAATGAAAAAATGACATTAGCATTTTGAAACTTTTGCACGCTACTGTATTTTTATAAATTAGATATTTATTTAAGAAATAAAAATAAAAATTAGTAATATAAAAAAATAATAGATACAAATAGCAATAAAAGAAAATTTTTTTGATAAAATGATATATTATATTGAATTATCTTGATGATGGATTCTAGCAGATCATTGTAATGATGGAATCTAATATCACCTTATAGAAACCTTTTCTACAAAAATGTATTTTTTATATTTTTAATTATTCTTCTATTATTCTACACTTAAACCTTAAATCTTCTTCAAAAATATTTTTCAGCAATTCTCGAAGCAATTAAAGTATTAGTCTCATTCAAAATTGAACATATATGTCTTCATGCTAAATATGATCCAAATAAAAAAACTTGTGCTGGAGTAAAAGTAAAAGGAAGTTATTTTAATAATTTAACCTTTAATATTGATGGTAGGTGTTTTTTTATTTATCTTTTTTTTTACTTTATTAATTTATATTCTCGTTATATTTTATAATATTTAAATAAATTTTAGAATAATTTTTCTTTATTAAAGCATTACTTTTAATTTGGATGGTAGATGTTTAATTTTTTTTTTTTTTTTTTTTTAACTTTAATTATATTTTATTCTTATGAATTTTTTAGAATCTTTATCTTTTAATAAAATCACTCACGCGGTCTAAAATCAATCACACTCACATGTCAAATTTATTAGCAGAATCACACACATGTCAAATTTATTAGCAAAATAATTGAAAATATATGTGGTCACATTTTATAAGGATTATATTCTACAAGTCAAAAGTTAAAAAATTGGTGAGATAAAAGATTTAAAAAAATAAAAATATCAAACAGAACTACTATTTTAATTAATGTTTTTCATTAAAAAATAAATATTTTTTCAATATCTATATTTGTGTTTCTCTTGCAAACCACTTTAAAACTTTTTCCTACTCATTCTTAAAATGTCTTAAGACAGACTGCTGGTAATATCATAGAAGTCAGGGAATCACTTGGGGGATAAAAATGCAGAACAAGTTGCATTTGGGTTGTTTAAGTATAAAATGAAACATGTAAACATTGTAAATGGAGAGCAGTTCATATTGTCTAGGGGTGGAAATCTCTAACAGTTGGAGTTAATAAAATTAAATTTAAAAAAATGAAAATAAATCTCATTCCAAACTAGTTTTGAACTATCAAATGTATTTGCACTAAAAATAAAAATTAATAGCTAAATTCTACTTAATGCAAAAATTGAACAGGTGTTGTTGAATCAAGCATTAAATTTTAATATGAATGTAATTCAAGAAAAGCTGTATTCAGAAAGTTTTTAGAGATTTTATGTCAACAAAATTTATCAAATTTAAATGTATTGATATTGATGGTAAAAATGTTTTTAAATGGTGACCAAATTTTTTTGAAAGTGATTTTTATTGTTATTGATTCAAAAAATCATTATTTTTCAAATATGAAAATTCTGGTTTTTAATGGTGTTTTATTCTTTATATCAACTTAAAATTGAAAAAATTTATTTTATTCTGGCATTTAATCTAAATTGCGCAAACAGTATCTTTAGACTTTTAAATCAATATAACAAATGTGACTGTTTGGTCTAGATGGAAACAATGCTAATTTTTTGTCCCTGTTAGGTATTTTGATGAGGGATGTTTTTTACCTTTGGTGAGGGATTATTTACCAATAATAAATTTTTGTTCTTTCATTATTTAATTAGCAATGTTTGGTTTGGAACTAAGTACAATTACTTCTTTTAAAATTGAAAGCTTTAAAAGTTTCTTTTTTAAATATTAAATATTTTCATTACATACAAATGATCTTAATTAGACTATGTCATGAAAAATACAATCAATTTGGTAAATCTGCACATCTAAACAGTAAAGAGTCATTTTTCTTTATGTACTTTCTAATGTACGAAAATATTATAGTATTGTTCATGCCACAGGAAGAAAAAAATCAGAAATATCGAAAATATTAAATACTTAGTTTACATTTTCTTCTGCAACATAAATTATGTTCAAATCTGGAGTGAGGAGAGTTCTAACCTAGCAGTTAATTTGGAAAACAGCAATCACTTCATTAGATTATGTTATTTTCAAATTAAAAAAATTAATAATTAGTAAATTATAGTTAACTAAATAGTTAAATATTAAAAAGTATTAAAAATTAAAACATTTAGATCATAAGCTATTATCAACTTTACTGATAAATATCAACTAGACCCAGGCTTTCCTCTAAACTAGCATTACTTTACCCTAGTAAAAAAAAAATGTTTATTTTTAAGAATATTCGTTTAGACCTTTTTACTTTTGAAGTTTTATTTCTGACCATTACATTATTCATGTACATTACATAATTTCTGATGCACATTACCATTTTAAACTTTTCTTTAAAAGAAAAATTGAATCAAATTTTGATAAGCACTGAATTTTTTTTTTATCGTAGATTAAAAAGCAACAAATTAAAAGAGATTTTAATAAACTTAAAGTATAATTAAAAAAATAAAATTAAAAAAATTTTAAATAAAATTTTTAAAATCTGAAAGCCTTGATCATTTTGTTAATCAAAACTTTATTTAATTATTATATTTATATAATCATTTATATAATTTTAGTTTCTTGTAATGACATAAGTTTGCTTTTAAGTTAATATTTTATGTTGACGTTTTTGACTTAATTACCAAATATATGGATAAAATTAACTTTAAATACATACAGCTATTTTTATTTTTAAAAATCTTTCTTAAAAATGTCATACCTTAAAAAGTCAAAAAGTTTTAAAAAAATTTTTGTATTTTATGAATTTGTTAATAAATCTAGAATCAATGTGTTTTGATACCAATGCGTTAATAAGTCTTGGTTCTAAAGCAGCAAAGGCTGCAAAACCTGAAATAGATCAAAGCAAAATAGATGCCATTGTAGCAGATGTTGATGCCAAAGGAAATGATATTTCAAAAGAATGTCAGAAGGTAATTTTTTTTATATTGTTTTAAATTAAATTATTTTCATCAAAAACAACAAATTTTCATCAAAAAGTCAAATATTTATTAACATTAACAAATTTTCATCAAAAAGTCAAATATTTACAAAAATGACTCAAAACGTTTTTGTATACATTGATTCAAATATAGTTGGTAGACCTTCTCTTTCTGCAAGTCTTTGCTTATTAACTCGTGGATTTATGCTTTTACCAGACTTGCTTGCTTTGTAAGACTCATTTAAATTTGACTCAGCTTGAGCGTATACTTACATCAGTTCAACTATTTGCCAAGAAATCAAATTTAAAAATTCTCTAACCATTCTTTAATGTGCTTCAGCTCATCGCCTTTCTTTCTGTTCTTTATTGTTTTTCTCCTTCTGATCAAATTGACCAGGTTTATTCTCTTTATCCACCTGCTAATACTGTTGTTATTGATGACTTTTATGCTAATATACTTTTAAGTCTAATAGCTTAATCTTTGACAATCAATTTGGTTTTATATCTTGACTTTATATGCTGCACAACTTTTCTTTTTTTAACATCGCTTCCAACTAGGCTCCAAGCAACCACTATTAGAGTTGGAATTTACTGGAAGAGAGGAAGAGACAAGATAAAGATTGTAGATCTAGATAACAATTGACAGACTTAAAAACTGCAAATTATATGAATCAGGAAAGCAAGATGAAGGAAGCCAATTCTAAAGAACTGATGTTTAAGGAAAAAAACTTGAGTTTTTAGAGCACTTAGGATAAAAGGATGAGATTTAATTGAACGAAGAGTAACACAAGAATAAATTTTAGTAGATGGGACAAAAGACGCTAGCTCTTTAGAGCAGTACTCATTATAGTATTTGTAGAAAAGAGAAATGATTTTGAGGTTTATAGAGGTAAAAAATATAATCTGGAGTAAGAAAATGTCAAGCTCGATAAAGAGATTCAACTTTAGCAGATGCTAATTTTGCAATGGATTTAATATATAGTTTCCAAGAAAGATTGTAAATAAGAGTTAATCCTGGAAGATAAAGAGTAGGTGACTCATCGAGTACATTACCGTTCATAAATATAGGAAGATCTAAATAATTGTGATAACAATTGGCTAAAAAAAAATTAAGTTTTATCTGAATTAAAGTTCATCAGCCACTGTGAGCCCCATGCTGTAGCAGAAGTGAGATCCTTTTCAAGCTCAAATGCCCCTTTCAAACAGTCAAAGAGTGTTGGCTTCTTATCATAACAAGAATAAATGGTAGTGTCATCAGCAAACAATGCCGTCTTAGATGTGAGAATATCTGGAAGATTGTTAATATAAATTAAAAAGTATAGGATTAAGAATTTAACCTTGAAGAACCCCTGAAGAAACCTTGCTTATGATAGGAACCTTAAAGAAACCTTTCTTATGATAGGAAGAAGATTAATGGGACAGTAGTTAGACAAGTCAGATCACTCGCGCCAGAACTTTTGAAAATAGGGATAACAGATGCTGCTTTCTAGCATGCTGGAAAACAAGACTTTGATAAGCATTTGTTAAATAGTTTTGAAAGTATAGATGACAGCTCTAAAGAAAACTTCTGAATGACTATAACAGGTATGTTGTCTGGACCACAAGCTGCAGAAGAGTCCAAGCAGGAAATCACTTTAGATACAGAAGCTGGAGTGATACGAATGTCAAGCAATGGATCAACCTGTTTGAAAGCTATATCAGGTATAACCCAACAAGTGAAATCAAGAGATGATATTGATGAAAAGTTCTTTGCAAACAATTCAGCTTTGCCTTTAGGTGAGGTGACAAAGTTTGAACCATAAAAGAGAGGTGGAATGACAGATTTGCCTTTATTATTAATAAAGGCAAATCTGATACTGTTAAAGGTTCTCCAGAAGCCACAAGAGCCTAAATTTTGTAATGAAACTGACATGCTAACTGCTCTAATTGAAAGATACTAATGTGCATTAGATAGAGGCAGCAAAGGCAAACCAAGGCAAGCATTACTGTTCTTGAAATATTTAAAACTTTTGATAAAGTTTAGCATGCTGGTCTTCTCATAGTTTATTTCATATGGTGTACTTGGAATATATATATATATATATATATATATATATATATATATATATATATATATATATATATATATATATATAAGTATATATATATATATATATATATATATATATATATATATATATATATATATATATATATGTATATATTCATATATATATATATATATATATATATATATATATATATATATATATATATATATGTATATATATATATAAATATATATATATATATGTGTATATATTCATATATATATAAGTATATATATATATATATATATATAAGTATATATATATATATATATATATATATATATATATATATATATATATATATAAGTATATATATATATATATATATATATATATATATTTATATTTATATGTATATATATATATATATATATATATATATATATATATTCATATATATATATATATATATGTATATATATATATATACACAAATATATATATATATATATATATATACAAATATATATATATATATATATATATATATATATATATATGTAACGTAGCTTTATTTGCTGACAACTTAAGTTCATACTCCTGTCTTTAAAAAAAGTCTTCTTTTTTTGTTCGCTTGGATGCAGGCAGTCAATCTTGAATATGATTTCTTTTCTGTAACAGCTTGGGGCTTGCTTTTGAATTTTTACTCCAACAAAAATGAGTTAGCTACTGCAATTAACCATTTCAATTTTGTTGACGTTTCTATAATAATGAATGGAAATGCTCACTTGGGTCCACTATTGTACATCTTTTTGGATTATTATTCACTACTGACTTCCATGTAAACTATATATGCAATCTATTGTAAAACTTCTGCTAAAGTTTTTTTTTTTATTATGCTTGCCATTATCTGCAAATCTCTTAATCCCTTGTAATAATACTTATTTTGTTTTTCTGATGATACTCTTTTTCTTTAAGATTTTTTTTTTAGTGAATGTAGTTGGATCTGCTCGATCTGCTAAGCTTAAGTCACTTTCGCATCATTGTAAAGTTACATCTTATTCTCTTTTTTACAATAATGATCACTGCTTAAACAAGCAATTATCTCTAAATCCATAAACCAAAACTCATTCTTGCTTGACTTGTCAGTTAGCAGATATTCTTTAATTTCTGGTAACTCAGAACAGTGGTTACTTGCAGCCTTGTTAAGAGTGAATTAGTTTCTAACAGAAAATTGTTTTATTTTTAAATTAGTTTTATCAAAAATAAAAACAATTTGCTGAGAAATGGCTAAAAATAACTATTTTATTAAATGCTAAATAAATCAAGAGGTGAAGATAAAAGCAGGACATATGTATGTTTTCTGATTTTATTTTTAGCATTCACAAAATGTTTCAGTCAGTAAATTGTTTCAAGTCAGTAAAGTAGTTTTAATGATCAATATCAAGTACTAAATTTTGTGAAAGCTGCACTTCTGATAAGAAAAGATTCTAGTCCTTTGCCACCTTGGATACACCCTTGGATACACCTTGGATACACCCTTTGCCAAAATATTAAGCAATTAAAATTAGTCTATCTTCAAGATAATCAATGTGTGACTGCTTCATTTATTGCAATAGAATAAAAGAACTTAATTAGCCGGTTTTCAGAATTTTTATAATATTATAATTAAAGTCATCAAAAAGTTTAATTCCCATAACAACCTATTATTTTTTTTTGTTAACTCGGACATTTGTAATCTAACCAAAAATAATTCAAAAAAAACTTTTATTATGTTGCAAAGTACTTGAATGTACTAAGAAGAACATTGAGATGAGTATCAGGGGATCGTCAAATCTGAGAATCAGACTATTTTCCTAATGTTAGATTAAAGTATTTTAAAAGAATTTCTCGGAATGGTTTTTGAAAAAGTTTCTTGGAATTCTTACATAAAGACCTTACGTAAAGAACCTAAAATTTTTTTTGCCTCTTCTGCAAAAAAATTTTCTCAAATATATGAAAATTTCAGGTGGATACAGGACAGGTTAAGACTTGAAAGAATGACCTTTTTTTTATCACGTAACATAAAACTATATTTGCAAATATAAAATTTAATAAAGTTTAATCTCCTTTATGTTCTCGCCTTTAAATAGATGTAATTTTTGTATATTTTTGTAATGCACACTTTAGAGTTAAATTTTTTAGCATTGATAAACAAAATTTTTAATATTTAATTAACTATAAACAGCTAGAACATTGAAAGCAAAAAAACTTGAGAATTTAAGCAAATGCAAAAACCTAAGCATACCAAAAACAAAATTTATGAAGGTCTATCATCAATTATTAGCATACATTTAAAATCATGTGTAACCATGTAAGTATAACATTATACTAACAAATAACAAAGATAAGACCTTAAGATTAAATATTACCCAGCTAAGGTTGTTTTTTAATATTTTATATTGCATTAATTGTAACATAGCTTAAAGTAAGAAAAAAGTAGTCTTCTCTACTGTAGTTGCTCCCTCAGCCTTGTGGAGGTAAATAGCAACAAAAAAATCCAAGATGACCATTTCTTTTAATAAAAATTTCTTTAATGAAGTTTTGTAAGCATTTGAAATTACTATACATTATTACAAATTAAAGTAAAAATTGTTAACTATTCAGTCAAATTGTTAATTATTCAGACAAATTGTTAATAATTCAGTCGTATGCAAATGCTTATTTAATTTATTAAAGTGTTTTCAAAATTTTAGTTGCTTATAATGTCTCATAGAAGCAAATGAACTGTAAAATAGGGTAATGTCAATGAAAAGTAATAATAAATTTAAAAAAATGCTCAAAACTTGATGTACTCAATTAATTTTAAACAAACTTTTTTTATTTTTAAACTACAGCTTCACTCTTATTAGTTATCTTTTATTTTTTATTATTTTTGATATGATTTATATTTTGTAGGTACAAAGTCAATATTCAAATTTTGATAAAGACGCAAAAGAGAAGACAGACAATATTAAGATCCCCACAGTAAATTCTCCAAAGAAACCATATACTCTCTCTGATGAAAAAGTTCGTGAAAAAATAAACTTGAGAAATGATGAAAAAGATGGTATTATGAAGCATGCAGTTCCTTGGGAAAATATTGATACTAAAGAAATTAGTCCAATGATTTTTCAAAGCGATGCATCTGTTCGTCACTTAATTCCTGATGAAGGTGAAAATTAAATAAATAAACTAATTTTTTTTTTAACTTCTTTAATTAATAAAATATTCTTGACAAATATTTTGAGTGTAGTAAAAAAAAACTGACATTTAAGGACGTGCAGGTCTTAAAAATGACCTTCGATGTTATGGTAAAGCTAATCTTCTGATCTTTAAGATTATTTTTAAGACCTGCATTTTAAGACCTGCATTCTTCAATATATTATAATAATAAGATCTTCAATATATGTAATATGTGGGAAAGCCACACTTTTTTCTCTTACTTTAATATAAAATCATACTTTCTCTAAATCCTTTTTCTCCTTTAAAAACATATTTCTATCTTTTGAAATAAACTAAATCTCTAAATGTGAGAGAATCATCTCAATCAAAGACAACTTTTTTTAACAGTAAAATATTTTAGGATTTTCAAAACATATTAGTAAAAATGAAAGATGTAGATCCTGGTAAAAGATAAAAGGTAGAAAGTTGAAAAGCAAAAAAATCAGATTTTAGATATAAAACTAGAAATGATGACAATGATGATGATGATGATGATGATGATGATGATGATGATGATGATGATGATGATGATGATGATGACGATGATGACAATGAGGAGGAGGAGAAAGAGGAGGAATAGGATCATTATCGTCATCGTTAACATGACCAGGATTTTTATGATTTTTCTTAATTATTTTAGAGTCTCAAGATTTTTGTCATCAACACCAAAATGTTCTTTCAAGATATAGTACTATTGCAGACAGTTTCTCATTAGCATTCAGTAATATAAACAAAGCTAAAGAGAGTTATATAAATAATAAAAAGTCATATTTAAATGAAATAGAGCATTTGAATGATTTGGTTCATTCTGGACGTAAGTATTTAAAAATTGACATAATTGAATTTTTATCAATATTTCATTAAGTAACTTCTTTGCTTGATTTTATTTTAAAATTGTTTTATTTTAAAGTCGTTATTACTATTTTATTCAAACATTTCACTTATCATTAAGAGTGTACCAGAATGGAAATTATGAATTCCGGCCGGAACCAGATTTGCCGGAATTGTAAATAAAATTTTATTTATGTAATATTTTACCTTCAAGATTGTAAATGAAAGCCTGCACTTCAGCATTGTAGCAATATAATATTGTTTATAAACTATAATATATATACAAGTTATTTCATTAATTTTATTATTTTTAACCTATTTTATTAATTTTATTATTTTTAACCTATTTCAATATTTTTATTATTTTTAATTTATTTCATTAATTTTACTATTTTTAACCTATTTTATTAATTTTATTATTTTTGACCTATTTCATTAATTTGGTTCTTGTTTCATCTAAATCTAATATGTTGTTTTTATTTGTTTCTTATAACTATATTTATTGAAAGTTTTAACTTGCACAATATTTATATTTAAAATTATTTGTTTACTATTTTTCCATTTAGGTTAAGATTGAAATATTTACTGTATCTTATATTTTTCTGGCATCTACATTTACTGGCATCTTTATATTTTTCAATATTTACTTCAATATTTATTATATTTACAATATTTATTGTATCTTATATTTTTCAACTGTTTAAAATATAAGTAACGTTTAAGATGAGACATGTAAAATTTTTTGCTCAGAGGCATGTAAAATTTTTGATGAAAAAATAGCTAGTTTGTTGCCCAAAACTAAATAGCAATTCTTTTTGCACCACAATATTCCTAGACTTCCAGAAATCCTTACATAATTTCCTAAAAAAATCCTTAAATTATTTGATAATTGTGTTAACAAATCCTTAAATAATTGTGTTGTTTAGAAATTTTTATTTTTTACCTAGGTTTACCTATAATTCTTCATTGCCCTGTAGGACAATGGTAATTTAATTTAATTTACACAATCTGTGTCACATGTCTTTAAAAGAAAAAGTAAAAAATAAGTTCCGGCATTCCGGCCTGAAATGTTGTATTTTCCGCCGAAAATTATCGGCCAGAACAGAATTCCAGTACATCCCTAC